AGGTTCTCCTCCGCGGCCGCTGGGCGCAGTACGCCGTCCGCCCAGTACCATCTTGGCCCGCGCCTCAGGGCCGTCTTGGGGGTGGCCGCGAGCCAACTTTCTGGGGAGTTGGTGGCCCGGAATCTCTCTGGGATTTCTGGAGTTCCCTGGAGCCTCCAATGCCAGAATTGCGCCTCTCGCGGCCCGGGAAGCCCGCGGGCAAGGGCCCGGCCTCCTCTCGGTGACCTGTTTAGTCGGGGAGGGCTTGGGGGCGGCTCCTGCCCACCAATAGCCCTCTGGACCGGGGCCAGCCCAAGGCCTAGCTGGTCCCGCCTGGGTCCCTGGCAGTCCCCGCCCATGGGCGCCGGGTGTCCGTGGAGGAACGGCTTGGGTCCTCTCAGAGCCTCAGTTTCCACCGCGGAAAACGCGAGGAGGGAGGCCCACATACCTCACCTGTAAAATGGACGCTCCAGTTGCCTTCTGCTGCTGCATTAAAAAGCTGCAATGCCAGGCTGACTGCGCCCAGGGTCCCGAATTAATTTGCCGATAAGGCGGAGGATTTGCGGTGCCAAGGCCTCAGCCTGTTCCCAGCCTTCCTTTGCAAACCTGATGTGTTTCTAGAGCAAAGAAAGGGCTTGACTTCTTTATAAAGAAAATCGCAATTGTAGAGCAACTACGGTGTAGATGTTGGCGCCCCCAGGGCCATCAAAAGTGACAAGGCCAGCAAGGGTAGGATACGTTGAGAATTTGTGATCCTGCCCCTGACCTTTGACCTGGCCAAATTTTCTCCCCACTTTGGGCCTCAGTTTCCTGTGGGTGAGGAAAGTTTGGATTAGATGTCCCTAATGTTGGCTAAAATTGCCGATTCTAAATTAGGCTCCCGTCTGTCCTAGATGTTAGGGGAGTATGTGGCTTCCTCTCCTGAAACAACCCAACCTGCAAGTCAGTTGGGATTGGAAAAGTGCTTCCAGCAGCAGATGGGGATTGACAGGAACCAGGGGTGGTCTGGAACCCAGATTTCCATATATTTGAGGTACACAGCTCCCCAGCGGGCCTGGTTTTACTTTTTGACCTTTCACCCCACCTAGCCAGAGATGTTAATGCTTAGCCTTTTCTCAGGCTATCCAAGGAGGGTCCCAGGGTCCCAGAAAGGCCCGAGGCGGTCCTGGGCCCCTTGGCAGGAACATGTCCTTGGGGAAGACAGTGATTTCTTTTGGCGTCTGTCCAGTCTCCCAAAGTGGGGGCTGGCTCCAAAGCAGGTCAGGACTATTCCTGGGGACTTGATTCCCCAACACCTCCTGCATGCCAGGCTCTTCCGGGGCAGAGCTGAACAAGCCACGAGGCCCTGCCCTTTGATTGTTCCCATTGTTCTTCTGAGTTTCATTTTCAAATTCTCAGGCCTCAAGACTTAAAAGACCAGTACCTGGCTTCTCCTGGGGTCAGGGCTGTAAAGGGAAAGGTGGAAGAGGCGCTCAGCACAGGGCTGTGTTTTCTGGACAAAAATAGGAGAATGCAGGGGAGCTTCCTGAAGACTGGTGTTGGGGGCACCCTCAATTTCTGGAGAGAATTCATGAAGAAAGGTGAATCGCTTTTCCTTAGAGTCGCCTGCCCCATCATTCCTCCATTCTTTCCCTTCCTCGTAAGCTCACTTGCGTCTCAGATGCAGGGCCGTGGGGATGGTGACAATCTGTCGCAGAGCCTCATTCGAAAGGGAAGGAATAAAGAATGCAGACGGGTAACCGGAGTCCAGCCTCTTGTCAGCTCCTGCCTCTTATAACCATGCAGCCCCCTCCCTGCCCTTTCAGACCCTGCCAGAACATTGCCCTGATGACCTCCACCTGGAAACTTCTCCAGTCCTAGGACCAGGCCAGCTGGGCCTCTTTATCCCTGAAAGCCTGCCGCTTTCTCTTTTGGTACCATTTGGAAAAAGAACGTATATGGGCATCATAGCCAACAGGAAGACGTAGGTTACGCTTGCACTGTGTGGCCTTGGACAAGTCACTTCCCCCTTTGGTTTCCTCAGCTATAAAATGATAATATTATGTCACCGGACTGGGTGTGGTGGCTCACACCTATAATCCCAGCACTTTGGGAAGCTGAGGTATGAGGATTGCTTGAGGCCAGGAGTTCAAGACCAACCTGAGCAACACAGTGAGACTCCCCCCATCTGTATTTACTTAAAAGAAAAATAAATTTTTTTAAAAAAATTACCTCACTCATAAGGTGTTGTGGGACTCTCAAGAGAGCTGCATAGGCTGGGCACATTGACTAACGCCTATAATCCCAGTACTTTGGGAGGCCGAGGCGGGTGGATCACCTGAGGTCAGGAGTTCAAGACCAGCCTGGCCAACATGGTGAAACCTTGTCTCTACTAAAAATACAAAAATTAGCCGGGTGTGGTGGTGGGTGCCTGTAATCCCAGCTACTTGGGAGGCTGAGGCAGCAGAATCGCCTGAACCTGGGAGGCGAAGGTTGCAGTGAGCTGAGATTGCGCCATTGCACTCCAGGCTGGGCGACAAGAGCAAAACTCTGTCTCAAAAAAAAAAAAAAAAAAAAATTCAGTGTAGTACCAGGCACTGTTAACACTAGCTGCATGTTCTATATGGATACAATAGGACACTTGAGTAGACTGAGGCTCAAAGAGTTAAGTTGCTGCCCAAGATTGCACAGTGGCAGGCACTCAATAACTGAGAGCCCCTCCCTCTGAAATCACATTAGTGTTTTCTGTTGTTCTCTCATTGTCTCAAATGCATGGATCCTGTTTTTCCTACCACACTGGGAGCTCTTTAAGGAAGGAACAGTAAAAAACAAACAAACAAAAAAACAGTAGACCAGATTCTTCCCCCTCCCTCCTGACCCAGTCCACTCAAAAATTACTCATTGAACTGAATCAGTGTATCAATTCTATAAACAAAATTAATCCTTTGCCTCTTCCTCTGGCTCAAAGATGGCTTTTGGAAACACTGTATCACTCCTTTTATTACAAACTCCTCTGCCCTCCTCCAGGCGCCTGGGCCACTCCAGGATTACAAATGGAGCCTTCTGCCTCTAGGTCACTGATTCCACTACCATCTGTCAGCGTGGATTGATTGAGGAGACTGGCCCTGCTCGGCAGATCAGTGACTTGCGCAAAGTGAGCCGGGGTGCCTTCAGAGCAGGCGGATGTCCTTCCTCACTTGCCAGCTCTGGTGAGCAGACACACAGCCCTCACCTTTATCCTTCACCAAGCTCCAGCTCTCCTTCCTCTTGGGAGGGGCCGCCTGCTAACTCAATCACACCAAGAGGGAGGCCTGGAATTCCTGCTCACAAGCTCAGGGCTGCATCTGCAGTCTTCCAGGAGGCAACCTACAAAAGCCTCTGGCTAACAGAGCGGGAAACTCCCCACAGCCTCCTGCTGTGCCTGTCCCCAAGCCACGCACTGTCCCCTTGCAAAGCACAAGGATACTGAGAGTGTACAAACAGCAGGGGTGGAGAGCCTCTGTGGGCACGCCCTCATTCTGTGCCCTCATTCCACAGGAGCCCCTGCTTTGTGCAAGTCTCTGAGCCCACATGGAGGGAGCATGGGGGCTCAGAACAGTTCTTTCTGGTGCAAAGTCAGAGGAGGCTCTAAAGCTATGGTGGTAGGGAGGGCTTCAAAACAGAGGACCAAAGAATACCGAGACATAGGGGTATGGGCGAGAGCCACCCGCTGTGCCCAGGAGGACTGTGCCCAGTGCAGGGGAAAAAGATGAAGCTGCAGGGTTGGGCAAGGGTGGGATCCTGCAGGGCCTTGTAGCATTGACATGTTTGGCATGGCTTTGTTTCACGGGGTCCCACAGAAACTTCTGCTCTCCAGGTTTGCCCCTCACTCTGCCCTCCAGGATAGAAGTGTGGCATCCTAATCTGGGATGCATCCATCTCTCCCCCTGGACTGTGAACATATGCAGGGCAGAGACACCTCTGCTTCTCTCGGGTCTCCGGCATCCTGTGCAGGGTAGGGCACCATGTCCATTAAAATGATGTTAGTGAGGATGATACAACCCAGAGGAATCCAGGCTTACTATGAACCAGGCACTATGCAGATTTCCCTTTGTCATCCCAGTTCTTCATATTTGCAGCAGTCTAATGAGTTTGGTACTGTTATCACTCCTATTTTACAGATGGGGCTACGGAGGTGCAAAGAGTTTAACTTATCCCAAGTCACACAGCTTGGAAGAGGCTGAGCTGGTATTTGAACCCAGGTCTTCAGAGGCTGCACTCTTAACCACCAGGCTTCCCAGCACTCAGCAAACACTGGAAAGACAGTCAGTGGGACCAAAAGTCTGCAGGCCAATAGGGAAGGAATGTAAGAGGATGGCGTGGGCAGCACCAGCCTCTCCCACAGTCATATATTAAGCACTGGACACTGGGCAGCTGGGGCAGGTGGGGGCCTCAGACTCTCAGACCCCACGCTGGGAAGACCACGGTCTGGCCAACAAGCAGCAGCTGCTGTGAATCGACTGACACATCGTCCCCACAGGTGAGCAGAGAGCCGACACCTGAGGAGAGGCCAAGAAACGGGAAGCCCGTGCAGCCCCGGGCGCACAGATCACACCCACCTGCCCGGCACTCACTGCCCCTAGTGGCTGGACTCTCACTGGGCCGGTCACGGAGCTGGGGCCAGCCTGGTCTCACCAGTGTGTGTCTTTAAATCATCCAATTCCTTCAGCTGTAAACTGGGCTGCGAGGGGCCAAGTGAGCTGCCTGCCTCAGGGGGGGTCCTCGCCCTTACTTGAGGGATCCCATTCACTCCTCACAACAAACCCGTGAGGCAGGGATTGTCCTGTTCATTGTACAGAGCAGGAAATGGGTGCACACAGAGGTTAAGAGACTTGCCCAGGTCACACAGCTAGGAAGAGACTACGACTTGAACTCAGACTTCTCTCCAAAGCCCCTACAGAGTTACTCGGGACTACAAAGAGTTAACCTGAATATGAAATGATCTGACAGTCGCAGTGACAAAGGCATGCTCTAAGCGCTTTTCCTGCAGTAACTTGCTTAATCCTTGCAACAACCCTATAAAGTGGGTACTGTTCTTGCCTCATTTTGCAGATGAGGAAACTGAGGCACAGAGCAGTTTGGAGGGGGCAGAGCTGAATCTGACAGGCTGCAGGGCCCCTGCGTCGCTTTGTCACAAGATGACAATAAGAAGTTCCTTTCCTTTGGGATTATTTCTGCCTGAATGCTCAAGACTTTTAGCCATATCATTGTCTGGGCTCCACGGGAAGGCAGTGCCACATGCTGAGGCATGCTGGGAAAAGACTTTGTTCCATCCTGTTTTGTTGACATGCTCTTCATTTTTAAGCCTGAAACCCAAGCTTCCTGCTAAGAATTCAAACCATGGAGAAAAACGCAGCCATGATAACGGCCACTACTTCCTGAGCCTCCAGTGTTCCCCGTGCTTGGGGATCCATATATGTCACTTAACCTTAGCCTTCATGGCACCAGGGCAGCCTCCATTTTTCACCACTGAAGACATGAAAGCCCAGAGTCACTTAGAAGATGCCTGAAGGTGCACAGCTGCTAAGTGATGGTGCTGGGATTTGTCCTCAGGTCCTCGAGAGTCCTGACTCTTATCTGCTGGCTCCCCACAGAGGCATGAAGTCTTGTTTGCTGGGCATTTGACAGAAATGTTTCTGCTCATCTTCTGCCACAGATTGGTCCTTCAGCATCAAGATTCCTGGACCACTTATTAATAGAAGGCACCAGGACACAGGTGCAGGGATGCAGAGCTGGATGCTGCCTTCTCAACAGGAAAAGCCAAGAAACGCAGATGCCAATGCTCAATCAACTCCGTCTCTCCCTCTAGTGACTCGGGAATAGCTGCCCTGCCACCAAGGCGATTGTCTTCTGGAAGCAGCCACGCCGTGTGAGGTTCCTCATCACTGCCCTGCATCTCCCTGCAAGCTCTCGGGGATAACTGCCAAATCAACATTTGATTCCAGGGGAGCAGAAAGCAGCAGGAGCCGTGGATTCTCCAACTCTTAACTGGTCCTCTTAACTGGAGCCACTTTGCCCTGCCCACCCATCCCAGTGGCGGATTCATTACAGTTATCCAAAGCCAGTTTTGACTTTGCTCCCCCGGCTCAGAAGTCTGTCAGTGGGTCGAGTGGCTTCATCATTCAAGTTTATTCCTATCAGCCTGGAATACAAAGCCCTATCTGGCTCGGCTTGCTTCTCCAGACCTCTCCCAGGTCTCATTCTGCCTCTCCGCCTAACTAGACAAGCTGGCTTCCTGTCCTGTGCCTTTCTGCTCCCTGCAGCAGGAATGCCCTTCCCTCCTCCCTACAGATTGAAATTATACCCTCTTTCAAGTCTTACTCAAATGCCACCTCCTCCACACTCTTACCTTAACACTTACTCATTCATTCAACAAACATTGATAGCCCTTATGGCAAGCATTGATCCCAAGGGTCCCTGTGGTCATGAAGCTTATGGTGCCATGCAGCGGTTAGAAAAAGAATCATCACATAATCATCTGATAACAGCCATGATACAAATTAGTAAGAAAGTGTGACAGGAGCACAGCAGGTGTACAACAGGGACCCTGAGCCTTGGGGATCTAGGACATTTGAGCTGAGACCTGAAAGACAAATAGGAAGTAACCACATGGTGAAGTCGGAGGAGAGCTCCAGGCAGAGGGCATGGCATGGGCAAAGGCCCTGTGGTAGGAGGGAGCAGGTAGACTTCCAGGAAGGGCACCAGGGCCTGCAGGGTAATTTAAGTGAAATGAGAAAGCTGGAGATGTAGCTGGAGCAGGACAGTACAGGCCACAGGGCTTTGCGACTTTATCCCTGGGCAAAAAGAGGAGATGATGAAGGATTCTGAGCAGAGGACACAAGCCAATATGCATTTAGACGCGATCCTGCCCTGTGGCTGAGCCTCTTCTGAGAAGTGCAGGCCCTGTGTCATGTCACCCTGAACCTCAGTCATCAGGGTTTTGAATGCGAGTTTCCATATCCCTCCTCCTAGACCAAGCTCTCAAAGGCAAGGCTGACCTCTGGTCTTCAGCTTCATCCCCATCAGCCAGGCCAGTGCCCAGCACAAGGAGCTGCTCCAAAAACATACGTGGGATAAACCAGTGACCAGGCAATATGCTTATCAGCATTTCCCTGTGAAGGAGCAAGGCTGCCTGTGAAGCCTTCCACATTCTCTAGAAATTACAAAGTTCAAGGGTTTTAGCGAGGCCACAACTCAGGGAGCCCTTGAGAGCCAAGCTGGCATCCCACTGCTGCGCACACCCAGCCTGGGCACACAGTATGACCCTGCCCAGGCATCTGCCCATAGCCGTCAGGTGAATGACCAGAAACAGAACCGAAAGCTCTGTAAGGTGCTCTCGAGGTTACAAAGCATGTTTCACAGGAGCAGTCTCATCTGACATAGGCAGCCCTCTGAGCTGGGTAGCTGCTGCTTTACAGATGAGGAAACTGAGGCCCAGGAGAGGGCGGGTCCTCAGCAAATCAAAACAAAACTCAGACTAGGACCTAACAAAAGTCCAGGCTATGAATGGCCCCCATAGGGTTAATAGAGCTTTCTAGACATTTCTTTGAAAACTACTGTAAAGTGACATATTTCCTCAGGATGTCTGTCACGCCAGCAGTGGGAGCCAACACACCAATTCTCAGAGGCTGTTCCCCCTGCGCGGCAGATCCAGACGCTCAGCTCCCAGGCCCCGAGGCTGGCGGCTTAGCCCAGGGCACAGGAGGAGGCTCCCTCGGCTTGGCGCTGACTTATAGCAGGTGCTGAGGGAATGCTCAGGAGAGGCAAGGCTGATTCAAGAGGATGACAACAGAGAACGTTCCTAGAGCTCGCCCACCAGCTGGGCATGGTGCTAAGTGCATTACCTGCGTTCACCCACACCATCCTCACAACACTGTGAGTACAGTGACCATCCCCATGTACAGGCATGGACACTGAGGCTCAGAGCAATAAAGAATTAGCCTGAGATCTAATGCAGGTGAGTGCAGAGGCCGGCTCTGAACCCACACATTGCCCTTAAGCAACCTCATGTCCTGAGCAAAGGTGAGCAGAAACATCTTGGGAAGAGGGAACCACGACTGTATCTTCTTCAGGAGCCATGATGGCGCAGGGCACCCCTTCCCCTGCCCACCTGACGACCATTATTCCCATGATCAGTATATCCCTCTGTGGGCAAATAATGACAGACATGCATGGTAACCACCCCTTTACAAGTTTTGTGCCTCCCCAGCCTCCTCCCCTAGGGCTCTCTAGGCTTCCTTTACCCGTCCTGCCTTAGACGGGCTCCCAGCATCATCTGCCTCCGTGCCTTCTTGGTAGTAGGTGGGTGTTAAAAAGAAAGGAAGGACCAGGTGCGGTGGCTCACACCTGTAATCCCAGCACTTTGGGAGGCCGAGGCGGGTGGATCACCTGAGGTCAGGAGTTGAGACCAGCCTGGCCAACATGGTGAAC